TTTCTTCATAAAAAGAAGTTAAGCTTCCTTAATTAAAGTAGGACACACACAAGGAAAGGCAGAAGCCAAAAGTAAGAGTCCTGTCTAATTTTCATTGCACTACTACCCACCACTCCACAGATGAAGAAGTTGAAGTAGAGTAAGGAGCCCAAGAAGACACTAGGTGATATAGCTGATAAGTAGTGAATAACAGTAGTTCTATTTGTTTAGTATAACACTATGATATCCTTTGTAATCCTCCTAAAGTTTGACTATTTGGCCAAAATGTTGTGAATTTTTTAAGGCTTTTGTCTAGTCAGGAAAATGAAAGGTCAAGATATATAGTAGTAGGTATTTAATGTAATAATACAACTTAGCTGTGGGAAGCACTTCATGAAGAGCTTGAAATGCTAGGCTGAGTATTTTAAACTTTATCCTGAAACAATCACTTATGGACCGAAATTTGTTCATTGCCCTGTTTAGCTACCTTTGGAAATTACAGATTCGAGACTATAGTGAGCGATATAGATTTTCTTCCCTAGAGAAAGTATATGCACATTAATTAGCTGATCATTTCTGAGATGTTAAGGAATCCTTCAAAAAGCTCAGCCATGAACTCCTTGGGAAGAGACCATCACAAAGTCAACTTTGTAGTTGACTTTGCTTATGATCCTAAAAAAACCTGAAAGTTGGATAACGATGCTTTCTATACCATGCTTTAATGAACCAAATTAGATAAACAACTATGAAAAATACTAAACTATTGGCAAAGAACTAAAGAAAAATACATAAAAATTTCTGTAGATGGTTATTGCCATCTGCTGGTCATACTTAGGTAAATTCCAAAACTACATTAATCTGCTATGGTATTTTAATGTTAAAATCTTTGTTGTTTATTAACTCAAAATCCTGGTTTTTCCAAGCTTTTATTTTAATATGAACATATCATTTAACATTTGACTGAAAACTTGTACTTTGTCACCCCATCTCTCCTAAGCTCATGAACGTGTCCTCTTCCCCCCAGCTTCAACATGGATTTGCAGCTTCATCTCTCACCTAAGCTTCTTCACCACTAGTTGCTTCTTTAATTTCCATGGCTCATCAGGTCTTTTCTGTTTCATTTCAGTATTTCAATACAGAAGCTTTCAAATGAAGCTCGCTACATTATTTATGAATTCTGGGAGAATAGCAGTGTGTGGAACAGGTAAGTTATGAGCAAGGCTGATTTGCTTTGTGACCAGGAAAAGGACAATAGAGAAGATGAAATGCTTAGATTTGTAGGAAATGTTTGATTTTGTTTACTTCACCTTAAAACATGTCTTGCTCATTACTCTGAATCCCACACTTTGAGACAGGGTCTCACCATAGAGTTTGGTCCCGCCTTGAACTTGTGACTAACTTCCTGCCTTAGCCTCCCAAGTCCTGAGATTACAGGATCGTGCCACCACTCCTGGCTGCTGAATCAAGCAACTTTAAGAATTTATTTCATGTATTAGAAATCACTTTCCTCTTGGAACACAGATGCCTTGGGTATTAGATCCACTTTGAGTTAGACTAGGCTGCTGATGCTTTCAAACAAGTAGAATCAGATACAGGTCATGGAGACCTAAGTAACTTGAAGGGGTGAGGGTGCAGAGCTTTATAAGCTTGCTGGCTATTATTTTTAGAATAAAAATGTGTATAATGGCTAAGATACTCACATAACATGCCCAGATGTCTTTAAACACTATAAATGAAGGTAAAATTTGAACATTGGCAAAAATAGAAACAATTATGAACTTTAAGAATTGATTAACAGGGCCTGGGAGATAGATCAGTGACTTAAGCACCTGCCTGGCAAGTGCAAGGCCCTAAGCTCAATTTTCTACACCACAAAAAATAAATAAAAAATGGTTAACAATAAATATATAAATAAAAAATGGGAAGAAGAACATTTTTTCTGTTCTGAGGTCATACAAATAGTTCCAGATGATTTTAATTAATACAGAAAATATAGCTCTCCAATAAGTCAATGTTTGGGGGTATTAACTTATGCCAGTAGGAGTGAACAGAACACCTGCAAATTCAGTTGGCACAATTTCACCTTCTAAGACCATTGTGTAGTGTCTAAAAGCAGTTGGAGGATTTGAGGGAAACTGCTCAGTGCCAAGACACTTGCCCATTGTCACGTGGCCCTCAATGAATCCCCAAGTTCAATTCCAGGAGCAGAAGTGAGAGGGGGCACTTTGTGTAAGGATGAAGGCCAAATGACCCCAGCTGTACCACCGGCATAGACGCGAGCCTTAAAGACATCTAATCAACATCATTCCTCTAGCTCTATGCTGTAAGATAGATTTCTATTTTCTTTTTTCTGAAAGATTGGAAAATGTACAGTTCCTTTTCTTGGCTCTCCTATTTTCATCATTGCTTGCTGAAATTCAAGTCTACCTCCTATTATTCTGCGTAGAATTGGTATTCCTATTCTTAAAAGACTTTTCCTTTTTAATTTCTGATAACAATTGCTAAGTTATTCTTAAGTCTTTTTTAAAGCTAGATAACCATTAAATTAAGTCTATATGCAGGAACTTAATACAACAGATCAACCAAAACCTTGCCATCTTAATTTAATCTCTGCTGTACCTTACTTAGGTTATAAATACAAATGTATAACCTTGACTTGTTGTCGCTTATATAGCCACCTTCAGATGAATTATAGCAAGACATTCCAAAGAAGTAATGTGGATTTCTTGGAAACACCAGAGCTCACATCTACTATGCTAATTCCTGGTAATTATTCTGGGTTCACAATACTACTGTGTGTTTGTATATTCTGTTGTTTGTTAAAAATAGTATGTTCTTTCCCATAAGCATCAGAAATACTGTTTCTTCATATATCTAGTAATTTGAAGTTTGAGAAGGAAAAAGGTATTTATTGTTTTGCCTTTAAGTCCTTAGTAGGCCCTATTTTCTTCCAGGCTATATTAAATGCATCATTAGAACTTTGCTGGCCACCTTCAAAATTTTAATGGACTTGTATAAGTCAAACTGTAGTATTTAAAAACATTTTCAAATCCTTTAAAATATTCAATTTAATATATTGAGTACAATTTGAAATAATGTTCTTTACAACTATGTTAGACATATTATTTCTTATAACAGCTGTTAGAATAATATTTATAATTGGAGAAAAGAAGAATGGAAAGAGAGCTTTGAAATAAAATTGCCTAAGAAAGCCATGGATATAGCTCTCAGAACAGCACCTGCCTGGCAGACAGAAGGTCCTGAGTTTGATTCCTGCTACCAAAAGAAAAATTGTCTAAGAAATCTGACCTAACCAAAGTTTAAAGTAACAGAACTAAATTTCTTTTGTTCTTATACCCATTCATTTACCAATAAATACATATTTTTACGGAGTATCAAAATGCCCCTGACCCCAGGCTTAGCAATGCACTTAGCCTATTTGAGCTGCATTTCTAAGTAAGCATTGTGATAGATGCTGAAAGGGTATCAAAGCTTGAAAGGAATACTTGCAAATCAAATGTTTTCAGGGGGAAAAAGAGTTCAGAGAATAAAATAGCTGCTATTCAAAATAATACAGATTTGGAGAAGTGATTACTTTCTTAATTTTTTTTTTTTTTTTTGAACTGAGGATTGAACTCAGGCCCTTGAGTTTGCCAGGGAAGTGCTTATTACACTGAGCCATCTCCCCAGGCCCTGTGATTACTTTCTTAATCTAATGGTTTTTATGCACAAGGTCTCAACTTCTAAGTTGACAATGTCATTAACCAGGTATTCGAAGAGTAATCTGGAGTCATTGAAGATTTTGAGGCAAATGATGACCTGCTCTAATTGGTAGTGACTGACAGGAGGGAAAAGACTGACATTACGGAGTGGGGATTAACCAGGCAAGCCAGGAAAGAAAGGCACGGAAGTCAGGAGCTGGCCAGACTTTGGGATGGCTAGAAAGGCACAGGAACCAGGAGCAGGCCAGACTTGTAGATGCAGTTTTTAGGAGTTAACCACAGCAACATGATGGTTGAGCCCTGGGCTTAATGAGGAAATGTGTGGGTAAGAGTAAAATATCTAACAGAGAGCCTAGGGGGGAAGGCCTTTCCATAAAAGGTTGTAGGTAGACAAAAGCCTCCTTTAGCTAGCACACTGACAGCCACTAATCATATATCAGTGCAATTATTTAAATATAAAAGGATCAAAAATTGCAGTTTTTGCATTAATTTTGTAAGAAATATAAAAATGACAGTTTTATAAAATTTATTTAATACAAGAATCAACTGGTTGAAAAGACACCTGCTGGAATGATGCCGAAGGTAAGCTGTGAAGTGACTAAACCAGAATCATCGTAAAGTATCAAAAGAGGAAAATGCAAGGTGCAGCACTCCTTGGGGGTGCTAAAAAGGGTACTGAAAATTGGATTTGTCAAGATCACTGCACAAAAGGGTTCTAATAGAGTGATAGAAATTTTAAGCTATAGTAGATGTCAAAGGATTGGAGAACAGAGAATGAAAAAGTAAATACTGAAATTAAAGCCACATGCAGGGACAGATGATCAAATATAGTAACTTTCAAGTTGGCTGACTTACCATTTGAGCCTGAGCTCTAGTGGAATGTTTACTCTAACCTTTAAGGACAGGTTTCCCTGGCCCAGAGAATGGTAGAGTTGTAGAGTTGTCAGTATCTCAAAAAATGCCTTTCTCTTTTCAGCTTCATGGTGGATTCTGAACAACTAGATATTCCTATACATCTTCAGTATGGTTTCAAGTGCAAAACGTGTTTGTATCTAAAGTGTCAATTAGAAAATTTCTCTGTGGTTGTTAATGTATTGTATACTTTAGTTTAATACATTTATTCTAAGTGGACTGTTAAATATTCTACAAGTTTATCATGTGTGTGAATTTTAGCATAGTTTTTAAAGGTCACTACTCTCAATATTTGATATGGACAGCTTTGCAACATTATAACCAACCTAAAATCGTAACAAAACTATAATGTGATAAAACTGCACACATAGGAATAAAATAGTGAAAAAGCAATGATGATATATAGAAAAATATTTAAATAAAAACGTTTAGAGCATTACTTCATAGTACAGATTTTGTAGATAAACACTCTCACTGTTTTGTGATACGAGTAACAGATTTGTGAATGAAGCTTATTTTCAGTAATGCGTACTCTAAACACACAATCCTACCACTAGGCTCTTTACATAGAACCACATTGTTTGTGACCCATCTCTATTCATCTCTACCCAGCTAGTTTTTCATAAAAGAACAATGGTATAACAGGCTGGGGTATGACAGAGTAATTAACTATAGTATAATCATCAATTTGTGGTACAATCCCCTGTGACTTAAACATTAATGAGACAAATAAGAGATCTTTATTTTAGAGAAATCTAGTTAAGATCCAGGTAGGTGACATTCCCTATGAGGACTATACATTTGCATATGAGTAATGATTTAAAAATACAATACTTAAAAAATAAATTTTAACCCAAATGAATAAATAGGAAATAGAAAGCAAACACAAAACTTGAGAGCAAAAGACACTTAATTTCCAGTATTCACACTGAAATGACTAAAATTATGTTCCTTATGTATTTATATAATTATATATATATATATTTCTATATTATAAAATATATAAATTATGGGGCAAATTGAATCAAATGTTTTTAATAAAATAAACTTTTACTGGTTATAACCCCTGGCAATGAAAATACAGTTTACAATACAGACAGAAATTTGTTGCCGTGCTATCCTCTGGTCCAAATCCCTTTGAAGCCATCCATCTTTAGGGAAAAACACTAAGATAAAATTTTTCTATTTTTTTTCAATGTTAGAAATCTTGGGGAGGAAAACAAAATGAAGTGAAATTTTATTTCCTAAATGCAAAATTTGATATAAAATATCTTCTCAAAATAAATGATAGAATATTAACTTTTATTAATCCCTTTGCACATTTTCATACCACATTCAGGCTAAATAAAATTAAATGTTCTCATAGTTTCTTTTAGACATAAGTAATACATTTGGACACTGTGTGTGTGTGTGTGTGTGTGTGTGTGTGTGTGTGTGTTTCTGGTCAATTCTAAAGATGACAAGCATTATGAAACAACACCTGGCTCAATACTTTTAATATGTATACAAAGTAGAGAACATCATTAATGGAGATGTACAATGATTATTCAAACAATCTATACATCTGTACAAAGGCAAGATGGTAAGAGTATTTGTGGTCTCATTGTTTACACACAGTAAGAAAGGATCAAAAGAGTTTAAAACCCACAGGACTTTCAACTTACAAGCCCTTTTTGGAAATAGTTACAAATGGTTTCAAAAGTATAACTTTGATCAGTCATACTACTACTGTGGTTGGTCCATTTCATGATCCAACTCTGAAAAGCACATCAAGTATTTTGGGTTAAAGGCAGTTTCCAAAGGAACTTGATAGTATTGACTAAAAATAGGATTCTGCCCAGTAATAGTATCAAATAGAAAAGCTCTTTGGATTGTAAATGGGAATACATTCTAGCTAGCTTCTAAGCTAGAGTCAAATGAATTTAAGAATAGGCAAACAGGGGCTAGGGAACTAGCTCTGCAGGCTCTAGACAAGGGCCTGGGTTTGAGCCCCAGAAGTGCATGCTGTGCTGGCCCCAGAACCGCAGTTACACCATGCTGACCACTGAAACCAGGCGTGGTGGTGCACTCCTGTAATCCCAGAGCTAGGGAGGCTGAGACAGGAGAATCTCTGCAAGTCAGAGTTACGTAGCAAGATCCTATATCAAATAAATCAATCAATAAAATATTTTTTAGAAAAGAATAGGCAAATAATGAAGCAAACCAATTTAATTTATGGTAACTCTGACCCCAGTTTTTATATATATGTTTTTGTGTATGTTTGTGAGCGTAGGTGCTGATGAAAGTGTGTTCACACACAGAGACACACACGCACAGGCACACGACCACACATATATTGGAGCCTATAGCACAAAAGGAAGATAGTAGGGAAAATAATTGAAGATTTGAGCTCTAAGTATAAATATCCCATTTTAAAGTAATCAAAAGAGTTACAAAAACATTTACAGGTAATAAGTGTTTTCCCTCTAAAAAAAAAAATCCTGTTTTCTGAGAAACAGAGCATTGAGCCAAGATAGAAAAGCTTCCCCAGACTAAATGGTAAATCTGGATAACAAGCCCAAAAAATAATGAGAAAAAAAAGGTACTGGTGTGAGAACTTTGCATTCAACAAAAAATAAACTTTCTGTCAAGTGATGGCCTTGAATACCTTGTCAGTAGCTCTCAGAGAGAATAGAAATAGGGAAAGTTTATACTTACCTTTATATTAGCAATTTTTCTACACTAAGCTCAAAGAAAAACTATTTTGTAAGAGTAACACCCACAGTTTAAAATTGCAGGAGAGTTACTGTATAAAATTTCCAGGAATTAAAAGTTTGAACTCTAAATTTCTTTATCTACCTGTATTCTTGTTATAAGAAATTATAGAACTGAAACTTAATGCACCTCAATTATATGCACAAGCATGAATTTTTCCTCTTCTGTAAATAAAAATGTTTTATTTTGCAGTTGCTCAAATTCTATTCACATGGTGTGATTAATGTTCCAAATAGCAACTATTTTTCAACTTCTGTTTCATTCACTGCCATTTTTTCACATTATCAATCTCTTCTAGTAATTATTAATCCAAGACAATGTTTATTATAAAAAAACTAGAGGTAATCATATGTTCAAAAAATTCCTACTTAAAAATTCTCCCTACTGTCAACTGTGTATTGAATATCCTGAATCATGCTACATTTCTAGAAAGAATATAATACTCTGTTCAAGAGCTAGTATGAAATTAGAAAAGGAACTTTCAAGAGCAAGGAGAAATTATGTATAAATACTTTATATTTGAGAATCTTTACAACTTACATTTCTATTTCATTATTACAACTTGTGAAAACAAAAATTTGCAGGTAGCATGCAAATTATAAGTACAGTCTTCCCATTTCACTAGTCAAATTCCTACTTTCCAGTGTTTTGCAGGAATCTGTTTCGAAGTTGATTAGAAAATTCTTTATAGTTTAAAATATCTCTCTCATTTTAGGAGAAGTCAAATAGGCCCATCAAAATTTAAAATAAATTGAATTGTCATAGTCAATTACAGTTACTGTTACTAGGTCCACTTCATTTGCTGGTGTTAAAAATATAAAACAAATATTTCGCTATCTTCAAATTCATCTGTTCTTAAAATTCTACTTAAAACTTTGGTTGGTTTCCTGTAACAAAAAAGAAAGAATTGATTTATCAATCAGATTAGTTGAATTCAGTTTTTACAAATTACTTCTCAATACAAATATTGTGAATCTGCTTAGTGTTTACACATCAAAATGCATGTTAATAGTTTGAAGAAACTATTAAAGTGGAATTGTCAAAAAAAGTTCTGTGTCAGTAAACCTATCTAATTCACTTTTACATATATTAAAGTGTATTTTAAACCCATTATGTTTTTGTGGTATATAGTTTTATGCATGTTATTAATGCATAAAGCAAAAGTAAACTATCCTAATGTATATTTGTTCTAAATAAATTGTGTGTCAAACATTTATTTACAAAATAAAGTGTTACAGAAAGGAGAATGTGCATTCCAATCCAGAGTTCATGTCCCCCAGCGATGGTGTAATATTTTCTTTTGCTCTCAATGTGTGAATTATTAAAAATAAGCTTGCTACCAAAAAAAAAATAAATAAAGTGTCATAAAAAATAAAGTGTCAAGCTAGAAAATGTGAATATGAAAATGTGACATTTTATATAGCATGGAAGTTTATATTTATTTTCACAGACCAAGGATGATTTATGCCTAAGATCTCTGAATAGGTAAGAATATTCAAGTAATCAAGTACATTTTTCCTCATTAAATATTACTTTGTGAGAGGTATTACAAAAAATTAATTCTTGATTTAATAAAATTTTTAAGAAGAACTGGCTGGGGTATCTAAGTAAGTTTAAATTATGAAATTCTAATATGTTATAGCATTATTAAATACTCATATAACAATATAAGGTTTTTAAAAATTGTAACTAAGGAAATAAATCCTATGCATATTCAATGGCTAATATCCCCAAAATGGAAACAGGAGGCAGTATTATGTATCTCACATTTGATCCATTCTTAGGATACTACATTCTGAGTCTCATCTCAACACAATCCTGCTTACCTTTTCCTACATTAAAAAAAGGGTTTATTAAAACTCTTAAAGTAAAATTCTAGCCAAGTATTAAGACAGAGCATAAAGGATATAAATTATTTAGTGAGAGCAAAGAAAGAGACTGGTATATCCTAACCACTCTCATGTGTTACTGTAATTAATCCTGAGCATCAGAGGTTATTATTTTCATCTACAATTGCAAAACTTTGACTCAAGAAAGGTTAAGTGACTTGCTCACATCTGAGTGACCAGTATATAAAGTCGAGTTACAATTAGAACCCAATGCTGAAGCCAAAACCCATGTGGTTTCCAACAAATATCCCACAAGATATGTATCTATTGGATGGAATCTGATGGAGTGACAGAGAAATATAAAGAGCTCAGAATATCAAAGACAAAGTTAAGAAAAATAAAGATGACTTGTTTAGCTGTTTTAAAACTAAACAAATTGACTAATGAAGCCATTAACAGACTATATATTTCTAGAGAGATTTCAAAGAACCATTCTTTCAATAAATATTACTAGAATTACTGCATATACATATAGAAAAAAGTAAGACTTGACCCCACTTTGTATGATACAGTAAAATAAATTCCAGGTGAATTACATAAATTAATTGAAAAACAAGACAGAACTTTTAGAATATTGGATATTTTTATGATCTTTCAACAGAAAATATTTTATAACTGAAATATAACTTCTATATCTCTTTCAGAGTAAATTATTTTATAATAACTGGTTTTATTGCATATTTGGATTTTTGTGGTTTTCTGGATTACTAATATTTTACAATGAGAGAAGTTAAGAACCAACAAGGAGAATAAAAAAATGTTAAAGACATACTCTGAACACAATATTACAGTACAAAATCTGAAACCTACTTACTAGTGTCTGAAGTACAATGGGATGATCAGGCAGAAAGTCTGGTTTTTTTCTGCAGATGGAAACACTTGAGAGTTTCAGTAGGAAATCTCTGCTGTATTTAATTCTCTCTGCAGATATTAAACATTATATATAATGTTATAAAACATAAAATTCAGCCAAATGTGATGATGCACTCCTGTAATGCCAGCACTCTAGAAGGCTAAGGCAGGAGGATCCAATTTAAGCTCGTCTGTACAAACTCAGCAACTTAGTGAGACCCTGTCTGAAATTAAAAAAACAAAGGGCTAGGGATATAACTCAGTATATGGCCCAGAGCTCAATCAGTTAATTAGTTAAAGCTCAAGAAACTATACTGGATCATATTTGGTTCTTTTTTATTGGAAGTCATTGAAATAAGCATTATTTCTAAAATGATTAGTAGAGCATATCCAAAGAAGGAAACAGCTTTGGAAAACATGTACCACATTTAATTTTCCATTTACATGGAAAGGAAGCCAAGTAATTAAGGAAAAAAATGCAAGAAATAATTTCACTTTGGTACCAGGATTCAAACTCACAACCTCACACTTGCCAGGCAGGTGATGCTGAACTATATCCCCAGCCTGAGAAAGAATTGTTTTGACAAAATCGATAATGCAGGATTTTTTCTTGACTGGTTATTCAGGTCTAGTAAAATGATTTTTTATTATAAAGTATAAGAACAGTACTACCTACGGGCCAATTCAGAACTTGGCAAAAGGAAACTTTAGTGAGTCTAAAATAAATAACAATTCATAATAGCTAATTATAATAAAAATGAATTAAGTTATATACCTATTATGCATTGAAGACTATACTAGATAAAGGTAAAAGATCCAAACCAGAGTGGAACAATGATTCAGATACAATACCTGATGATTTCTCATCAGAAATGACAGCCAGAAATTATGATGATATTTTTTAAACTATAGTGGAAAAATATTTTTGAAAAGAAAAAAACTGGCATATAGTGTATATCTCAGTGGCAAGAGTATCTGTCTAGCATACATAAGGCCTTGGGTTTTATCTCCAGCAGTTAAAAAAAGTAAAAATTATTAACTGACAACCCAAAATCACATATTCAAGTGTATGTGTTGGGGGGGGATTCTCTTAAAATGCACATAAAGATATACACAGATGAAAGAAAGCTTTAAAAGTTATCACATAAAAATGAAAAGTATTACTATTTCCATAAAATTTTATTTACAAAAATAGGCATTTGGCCTTCCAGCTATAGTTTTCTAGCCCTTATATTACTTACAAAAAAGTTACAAACTGACAAGAGTGGATCTTAAAAGAAGACCTTATTGTATGCTGTTCACCAATGATAAGTTAGCTATAAAGACACAGTGAGTTTGAAGGTAAACTAATGTAAAAAGATACACTGTGCAAGGAAGTAATAATCCAGCTGTAGTGACTGTCACATCTTAGACAAAGAGAAAATTATCAATGTTTTGTGTTCAATAACCAAGTTTTGACAGGCAGATAGCATTGACAGAAACAAAAGGAAAATAGACATTTCCACAATAACATCATGTAATGTAAAAAACCTCATATTGAGCAGTTGATAGACAAAAAAATAGCAAAAAGATAAATTTCAACAATATAATTAGCCTCTTTATTTAGGTAACATTTATAGAAAATACATTGGGGCCGGGGAGATGGTTCAGTGGAATAAGTGCTTCCCTGGCAAGTGCAAGGGCCTGGGTTCAATCCTCAGTTCCACAAAAAAAAAAAAAAAAAAAAAAAAAAATATATATATATATATATATATATATATATATATATACATATATACACACATATATAAATATATATAAATGCAAAAATACATTGTTTTTTCAAATAGTGTACAATCAATATACTAGACTATAACACAAGCCTCAATAAGAGGCTTAAAAAATACAGATTGTATTTGCTAACAAAATTACTTTAGAAATCCATGATAATATTTAAAGTATACTGAAAATTAACACATCTAAAAAATTATGTAAAATAAAATAATCAGGAAATTAAAAAATATTTCAAACTAAATGACAGTCAAATACAGTCCATTAAAATTTATGGATTACAGCTAATACTCGGCTTCTTTAAGGGAAACAAATTCTTATTGAAAGAGTCATAGTCCATTTGTGTTGTTGTAACTGAATACCTGACACTGGGAAATATAGAGAGAAAACAGGTGTCTTTGGGTCAGTAATTCTGGTGGCTGGAAAGACTAGCAGCATAGCGCCTGGTGAAGGCTCCTGGCTGCACCATGACAAGGCAGGTGGCATCACATAACAGGAAATCAGCGTTATAAAGATTCAGAGAAAGTTCCAGGATCATTTTAACAACCTGTCTTCTTAACTATCACTCTAGTACTCATGAATTAGAACTCTAAAGGGACAGTATTAATTCGTTTTTAAAGGCTTCCTCACATTTATAAAGGTCCCATCACTTCACAAAGCATTATACTGGCAAATTAAACATGAATTTGAGTTTTGAGAGGGACAAAGCACTTTAGGACCACTTGTTAGCTATAAAATAGCTTCAATAAATTTAGAAAGATTAAAATCATATAAAAAATATCCTCTCAAGGAGATTATGGGGCCACAGAGGAAAGTGACTGGCGATGTATAATGTGCCTAAGGAAAGTCACCTAGAGAGAAAACATTCTCTCAGGCTTATGCAAAGAGCAAACTGGTCAAGCAATGGCTATGACTCATCCACATGGCTGACACTGACAAAAGATCTACAAACTGTGGTACAGGGTTGCTGGGCAAATCCTGAGGGGATTTGACTGACCTTGTCAGATACAAGTTGCATTTCTTGTTATATAGGTCTTGTTTTATCTTGGTCTTAACCATCCAGCAGAAAAGTATAAAATTATGTATAAAAAGTAAAGCCATATTAATATGCTGAGCTGTAAAAGGCTCCAATCAACAACTTCTGAAATTGACAGTCTTATGGATAACCCACTACTATTACGGACTACTGGACTATATTGGATTATTTTGCTGAATTCATGCACTGACAATATTTAAATAGCAATGGAATACCTATCTCTGACAAAACTAAACAAAAAAGGGGGATATAAATGAAGGATCATCTTGTATCTGTATATACAAAATAGGATAGATATACAGCTACTTTCTCTTAATTCTGTGAGAAGAAAGATTTGTGCTAATAGTATTTGGACAAGATATCATGTCTGCATCTTGTACAATGAATAATTACTATGAAGACAACAATATGCAACGTATTAATTATTGTAACTGTCCTACTAACCTGTTTTGAAACTGTCTCATTGCTATTTGTTTCTCAATAAAATTAATTTTAAAAAGTATCCTCTATGACTACAACGCAATGAAACCAAGGGTCAACAATAGAAAACTGGAAAATTCACAAATATGTGGAAATTAATTCATATTGCTCAATAATAGAACGAAGAATAGCAAGAATAATAGGGGACTCAGGAAACATTTGACACAAATGAAAGCAAAGTCACAATATATTAAAACTTATGGGATGCAGTAACAACAGCTGCAAAAGCTAACATTAAAAAGGAGAAACTGGCCTATAATTCCAGCAGGGAGGGTAAGAGAGGAGGATCACAAGTTTGAGCCAAATCAGGGCAACTTAGTAATCAGCAATGCTCTTTCTCAAAACAAAAACTAGAGATGGCTGATGCAGCCCAGTGTGAAGGTCCTAGGTTCAATCTCTAGAACTGCAAGGACAGGAGAAAGCCTGTCAAATCAAGTATTTAACAACACACAATCAAGAACAACAACAACAACAAAAAAAAGCAAATTACATCAAGAGCTAGAAGAATGGAGGAAATAATAAAGATATGGAGATAAATAAACTAGATAATATAGAAATAATAAAACCAAAAGTTTGCTATTTGAAAAGTTAAAAATTGTCCAACCTTTATCTTGCCTGCAAAAAGAGGAATACCTCAACTTCCAAAATCATGAACAATATTCTATGCTGCAGTTCTGTTGAAATAATTTATTGACTCTAAAAAAAGATAACCTTATCCTGGTCTTGATGTGAGAAAAACAGCATTCAGTCTTTTATCATCAAGCATGACATTTGCAATTCATAGATAACCTTTAGTATGACAAAGAAGTTCTCTGTTATCAACCAGTGCCTCTCACTTGCTAAGATAATTTATCAGAAAAAGATACGGGATTTTCTTAAAAAATTTTTTTTCTGCATCAATTGAGATGACGATGTGATTTTCTGTTTCCCTATTCTGGTAATACGGTTTACCATTGACTTTCCTACTTTTCAAAGTCAAACCAGTATACAAGCTCAGAATTTTACATGATGTATAAAATATACAAATTAATTTCTACTTTGAGCTATTGTTACTCTGTTCTATCCTTTACAGATGTCAAATTGATAGGCTGGCTAACCTAGATAGAAAAGCCTAAAAGTATCTAGAATTTATTTTATACATACGCATATGACTAAACAAAAAAGTAATATTAATTTTATATAGATAAGATATTCTATGATGAAATTTGGGAATTATGGTGAAATTTTACCTTTTTTAACTGGAGACTGATGTTGCTGCTCTTCATTAAGACCTTGAGAGAAGGCTTGCTTTCCATTCACCTTACACTGTTGGGCAAGACAAAAATGTATTTTTAAATTAAGACTTAAAATTGTCATATAACCTGTTTATAACCAGAAATATTTTTCTAATAATCAAAATATTACTCAAAGAATATTTGGGACCAAAGGATATTTAAACATTAGAAGTCATCTGATCATTAAAAATAAACAAAAATATGTGAAATATATTCATATGTGTCTATAACAATTTTCGCTGTAATTATTTTTTTAATGTATTTTAGTACAGGGTCTATAGGGTTGATAGGGTTTCATATAGATTGGACTCATAACAATTCTCCTGTTTTCAGCCTCCCAAGCACTGGGATTACAGGCGCATGCCACCAAGCCAAGTCTCAATCACCATCTCAGCGCACCCCAGGGGTGGGGCCAGCGCAGCACACCAGGGATAAAACCTGGCCACTGCACTCTGCCTAAACAGGAGCTTTAGTCTGCTAAGCTATCTGGATAGCCCTTGCTATAATTATTTTTGAGAGAACATAGGACCAAAGATAATAATATAGCCCTAAACATAAATAACTTCAAATAAGTACAAAGTTACTTTTACATATATTTATTCACAAAAATCTGCAAGAATGCCAGAAAATCTAGCTTTTTTATAGCATGCAAAGTAGCCTTTGATGTCAGTTTATAGCTGACATGGACTGTTTTGACCAACACCTTGTAAGCAAGAAAATAAAATGTGGTTCATCCAATGAGGCAAAAAGAAAAATCAGAAACATTGCCCTGAAAACATAGAAATCTTTATCCAGCGTTTTCTGGTCATACCCGAAGGACCATCTTTATTGTGAGATTTGCTAAACTAATTGGATGACATTTTTAAAATCACTGAACTAATTCCAATTCTTCTGATTCTAAATTTACACAGAAATATTATTATTACAATTTAATATCCCATAAATCTCTGTACAGAGAGAAATATACTAGTTACAACAATGAGAGATCCCAAAGGATAAAACAGCAAGATTGTTCATGAAATAACCAATTTCTGATTTGTATATAAGGATCACAAAATTGGTCTATAAAAATACATGGTTAAGAGATGATCTCACTTTGTTCTAAGAAAAATCAGTTTGCAAATAGCCCCTGACTATGGTAGTTCATTTAGGTTGATTGTTTTACAATATCTACCCTGAAATAATAAACATTTCTACTCCACAAATCACTCTACTAGCATGCTGTGAACCATTTCTTAAATTTATTCAAATTCTACCAAAGTAACACTACTTAAATGCAGAAAGACAACCCTAGAATGCAATAAAAATAAGGAGATAATTCTCCACTACTGAGATATCAAAATAGGCCTTCAAAAAACTCAATTCACTAATCAATAAATGTAATACATCACATAAATAGAAGCAAAAACAGAAATCACATGTTCAACTCCACAGATGCAAGAAAAGCCTCTGACAAAAGTCAACATCCTCCTATGACATAAACTCTGAAGAACATAGGTACAGAAAGACATTTCCTTAACCTGCTGAAAGTAATTTATGACAAACGTACTGCCAGAATCATATGAAATGGGAAAAAAATGAAATCCTTTCCTCTAAATCAGGAATAAGACATGGATGCCCACTCTCACCATTCCTGTTTGACATAGTACTTAAAACTTTAGCCAGAGTAATTAGGAAAAAGAAAGAATTCAAAGTGGTATGTATAAAACAGGAAGAAATCAAACTATGGTTATTTGTAGATGACATGATTCTTTACATAGAAAACAAAAAAATTCCATCAAAAGACTCCTACAACTAATACAAAATCAAACCACAAAAATCAACAGTGTTTCTGTACAACAATGAATCCACCCAGAAAGAACTTAAGAAAACTATAACTTTCACAATGCCTTTGCGAAAAATTAAATACTTAGGGAATTAACAATATCCTTTAAAAAGATCAAAAAGGACACCTAAAAATGAAAAGATATGCCCTGTTTCTGGATATGGGGAATCAATATTGTCAAAATGGCCATACTATCAAAACTGATATGTAGATTGAATACAATCTCAGACCAACAGCACTGCACACAGAACTAGAGAAAATAAACCCTAAAATATACATGGAACCAAAAGAGACACAGAATTACAAAAGCAACCTTGAATAATCAGAAAAAAAACAGGAGATATCAAAATCCTAGATTTCAAGTGATATTCCAAAGCTAGTGACAAAAACACGATGGTACAGGCATAAAACAGAATGTGGACCAAGGGAACAGAATAAAGGACCCAGACACAATCCCAGGCACACTCTTTTTTTTAAATTTTTGACAAAAGGGCCAAAAACATACACTAGGGGGAAGTAAGCTTCATAAACAAATATGCTGAGGAATTTGGTTATAGACATTTAGAAGATTGAATCTAGACATGCATATTTTACCATATGTCTATATATTGCAACAGAAACAATCTGCTGATAGATAAGCTAGGCAAAAAGAACATAAAGGTAAAAAGACTTTCTGACCAGAACCCCAATTTCATAAGAAATAACATTAAGAATCAACAAACGGGACTACATCAAATTAAAAAGCTTCTGCATGACAAAAGAATCAGAGAATTGGAAGGAATTTTTGTAGCTACTCTTCAGACAAAGAACTAATACCTAGAACATGTGGAGAACTCAAAAAATTAGATGCTCCAAATAAAAGACCCAATCAAACATGAGCAATTGAAATGAGTACTTGTCAAAGAAGTACAAATGGCCAATAAATACGTGAAAAAAGTGTTCAGCAAGTTTAATCATGAAAGAAATGCAACAATGAGGTTTCATCTTATTCCAGAATGGCTATTACCAAGAAATAACAAATGCTGGCAAGGCTGCAAGGGAAAAAGGAACCCTTCCTTCTACATTGTTGGTGAGAATGTAAAGTAGTACAACTACTATAGAAATCAGTATGGAGATGCATCAAAATATACTGAAATTCTATTTGACCCAGCCATTCACCTCGTAACTATCTTTCCAAAAGAGTTAAAGACATTGTATTACAATATTACATGCATATTTGTTTTTACAGTAAAGCATAAGTCATAATAGCTAAATCTTGACATATAAGTCCATCAACAGACAAATGGATAAAGAAAATGTGGTATTCATATACAATAAAGTGCTACTCTACTTTAAGGAACAGTAAGTATGAATAATTTATAGGAAAATGGATGTACCTGAAAACCATAATGTCAAGTGAGCAAAAATACCCAATGGCTTCTCTTATCTGAGAAACCCAAACCATAAAGAGAAAAACTAAAGACACATAATATGAAATTAGAAAGAGCTGCAAATGAGAAAGAAAACTACAAATGGAGAGAAAGGCTAGCAAAGGGAAATTTTAAAGAATAACATGTGTTATGTACATGTGCCAACCCCCCCATGACTAGTGTAGTCACTATGTACAGCAAATATGTACTCATAAAAATTTTTAAAAATCAACTATTAGATTTCTTTAATTTAAAAAATGGCAAATTTAGGAAATGTTAAAATTAGGAATTATGAAAATTAGAAAATATTAAAGATAATAGTTTTCTAAAACTTATTGTTAGTTTAACTATAATAGACATTTTAAGAATGAAAAAATCTTGTATCTGAAAATGTTAACATTTCATTAACTTTGTAGCAGCTACTGAAATGCAATGCTAAAATCAAGCTTGAAGGTAAAACTTTACTTTTTATGCTTGCACATCTTAAAAATTCAAAACTTTTTTTCCATATCTTTCACAGCATGTAAAAACCACACTTATAAAAGCTTTATAAAATTATTACATGTTATTTTATTTCTTTATCATAATTATAAGAAAAAGGCAGGTATGACTGCCATGCTATGAGCAATGACAATAAAGACGGGATGGTTTTGATGAACAACCCAAAATACACAGATAACTGTCAAGCTAGTTTTTTAAAAAGATTTTCATTTGGTTTTAAAAGTATTAACCAAAACAAGCAATAGAAAGGGGAATGATGCATCTTACCTTTGGGGGAAAAAGATAAACAATAAAGAAAACAATGAGTCAAAAGATACACCTTAACTAACTCCAGATATAATTACCAGACACTTATCTTAAAATAGCTATTCACATAATTTGATACAGAAAGTAGTTAGAGATCAATCATGTTTCCTTTTCCTAGTTTCACAGGAACATCACATTTCTCACTATTAAATTTAAATTGGAAGAATGTGATTTGTTCTTACCAAAGATTTCTATGTAGAAGTACTGTATTTCATTTCCAGGTCAGTCTCTTAGTCCACTGAAAGATTATTGGCTCTTTCATTCTCAGATTGTTATGGTTCGAAGAAAATATTCGAGATTCTACAACTAATACAAATGTAGACTACAATCCTGAGTCCCCTAGCTAAACTTTTGAAGATAACTATTTGGTATGTAATGAAAATTTGTGTTGGATATAAATAAACTTTATTTGTTAAGGCATTAAGAATTTTGGATTGCTTATTACATTTGATATGGTTATCTCAACTGATACAATATGGGAAATTTCAAATGGGGTTCTTCTGTAATAAAACCCTAAACTAAATTATATTATCTTAGTGTTTAGGCAATGGGAAATACAGAAAGTGATATCTGATGCCGGAATCATGGAGTACATACTGCATCTTATAAGACATTCTATAAAACTGTCACCTTATTTAAAATGGAGACTTACAAAATGAGTTGAGTTTTTGAAATCTGTTATTACGATGTGGAGAAGATTCTACCTATAGAAGGTTAAAACTCATAGCACTAGTGAAGGTTGTTTAGCAGGTAGGAGCAAACATTTCATTATAATAAAAACTATTTGCTTCTATAAGTTTTTGCTCTCCTGATTCTTGAGAAGTGGCCAAATGGGTTGCACTAATCTTGCTAAATGCACTCATTTAACCAACACTGAATACCTAAGACATAAGAAGCACTGTGCTTTGGACTGGAAGTACAAACATAAGCACAACATTTCAGTACCTGCTGTTGGGGACAAGACTCACAAAGAAAATGATTCTCACATATCACATTCTTAGAAAAAAATTGCTGGGCATATAAGAACAAATATGAGAACCCCAGATATATTTTATGTATTTGGTACAAGGTCTCACTATACAGCTCGGACTCCAGTGATCCTCCTATTTTTACCTTCCCTAGCACTGAGATTACAAGCATGCACCACCATGCCTGGTCCCAGTGGCCAGCTCGGTGCTCCCAGGGGCAGGGCCAGCATGGCGCTAGGGATAGAACTCAATCCCTGTGCTTGTCTAAGCTGACACTTAGTCCAATGAGCTATCTTGCCAGCCCTCCAGGAAACATTTTAAAGGTATATATCAGTTACGAATGCAACACAAACATAAAAAGGCAAATGATATGAATTCACAGATGCACATCTAAATAGCCAAATTACACATAAAGGTTGTTCTATTTTACAAGCAGCAGAAAATTAAAAATTAAAACCAAACAAAAGAGGAACATATTGAAGAAGTCAAAATTTTAAAGTGAAACAGTAACAAGCTAAGAATATAGAAAACTTAGGGCCATTATGCATTGCACATAGAAATCACCTTGGAGGGTAATTAAGTTTGAACATATAAACATTTTTCACATAAAAATTTAATTCCAGCTTTATACTTAATTCTAGTTTTATAGCAGAGAATATCTCAAACTTGTATGAAATGAAACATGTAGCTAGTCATTGAAGCATTTGTTATAAATAAAAATAAGCACCCATCAACAAATAATATAAATAAATGTGGTATATTCGCATATACTAAAATATTTTCTATCTCAGCATATATAGAACTAGTGTATTCATTGTAAAATTCGCTGTATTCCATTTACAAATATAGTAATAATCATATATGTAGCACAGTTTAATTCTAAAAGCATGTGAACAAGAATGGTTCCTTTCATCAGAAGAAATTGGCAATTAGAATAGAAATCATAGGGAAAGTTTTCGCTAAAATAGGGGAATAGAAATCATAGGGAAAGTTTTCGCTAAATATCATTTTGTAAGACTGGCCATAATGGTGCATGTCTACAATCCCAGTGCTGGGGAGGCTTAAAACAGGAGGATCACTATGAGTCCTAGCTGCGTAGTGAGACCCTGTACCAAATACATAAAAAACAAATAAAAATAAATATCATTTTGTATATTTTGAATTTCATACTTTGTAACTATTGTAGTTAATTTAAAGATATCAAACATAATGTTAATATAAAAGAAAAATTGTGAAACAAAATATGCATATGAATTTATTTATATAAAATTATAAAACAATTTATTATCGCAAAAGTCCAAACACATTTCTTTTTTAAAAACCTGAGGATAGTGATCTCTGGGAAAAGTAGGAAGGAACTGGATGATAAGAGAGATACAAGGTTTTTTTGGGGGACGATCAAGACAAATTTCTTACGAATATTTTCCTTATTTGTAGTTTCAATTGAAAACAAACTGAAGGAGAGTATTTGTTAATTATCCCATTATTTTTTTTTATTTTACAGAGAATACAAATTTTAAAACCAATAAAAATGATGCAGAATTCCAAACTAGATGATTGGAAATTAACAATGATTATTATATTGTACACTGTTGTCTTTAAAGTAGTTGTTCATATTACCAGATATAGGCATGCCAAATTGATCAAACAAGTATTAATTGATCCTTTCAATAAAGCAATAGAAATTAGTGGTAAAATTACCTTAGTTATCTTGTATGTGTCTATATATTTTTTCTTTCTTCTTTCTTTTACTCCCTTCCACCATCCCAGTAGTTCTTTCCTTTCAAACAGTTTCTTCACCTTTCAGAATATCTATTGTAGCTTTTGGATCTCACCCCAGAAAAAATGGCTATCCTCAAGAAATCAAGCAATAACAAATGCTGGAGGATTGTCTGGAAAACCCTTATCCACTGTTGGTGGGAATGTAGACTGGTACAACCATTATGGAAATCAGTGTCTAGTTCCACAAAAAAACTAGGATTAGAGGTCCCATTCTACCCAGCTATTCCCTTCTGGGTATTTTTCCACAATAACTGAAAACATCATACCCCAGTGATACACCCATGTTTATAGCAGCACAATTTGTCACAGCCAAATCTTGGAAACAACTCAAATGCCCATTAACTAAGGAATGCATAAAAAAGATGTGGTATTTTTATATAACAATGTATTACTCATATATAAAAAAAGACTCACTTGAGGCTTTTGTAGTTAAATGGATACAACTAGAGACCAGATTCATGAATGAAAAAAATGAGGCCTATATGTGCAAACACTGTATTTTCTCCTTAGTATGGGAAATTGAAAGAAATACAAGGAGTTTTTAATTAAATTTTTCAAAACAAATATAATAGGGGGCCAGGGAGATGGCTCAGTGGAATAAGCACTTCCCCGGCAAGCGCAAGGGCCTGAGTTCATCCCCGGTTCTACAAAAAAAAAAATAATAATAATAAAAATAATAACATGTTCAGATTTCAAAATGTTGGATGACAGACACATGGGTGTTATCTTATTTTTAAATATATATGAAATATATAACTTCTCAGAAAATCTATAAAGTAGCATAGTATCTAGTTCACAATAACTACCTAACGTGTTATTTTGTGTAATGTTTTATCTCTAACTTTTTTCCTTTTGTTGCTGGAGTTGTATGGAGGACTTCAGGAATGCAAAGCATGTACTCAACCACTGATTTGCAGATCCATTTTATTATAGTTTTTAAAACTTACTTTGCTAATTCCACTTTGTAAGCACTGGGTGTTGCATGGATATTCACTTTGAAAATTGAAAGGCAACACTGCTCCTGCTAAGAGAGGAAAAAAAAAACCTATTTTAAATATTTTTGGTGTTTAAAATGTCATAGCATCAGTTAGAAAGCTTAAGTGTCTAGAATATAGTTGTGCCTAGAATATGTATTATTTTTAAAAACTTTCTCACACTTCATCTATACAACAAATATTTACTCAATCCTATGAAATGTCAGCCTGTGTGTTCAGGAATAGATATGGAACATGCAAAGAGTTCAGATGTAAAAAGAGTTCACAGTCTAAAAGACAAGTTTATAAACAATGATTATAATATAATTTGACATACTGCAAGCTATAAGAGAAGATGCAGGGAACAACAGAGGTAGCTTTAAGATATTAGGAAGACTTCACAAAAGGAAATAATTCAATCTGAGTCTTAAGAGTACAAGTAGATTTTTGAGAACTTAGTTGTCCAGAGTTTGGAAACATACTGAGAAAGGACAAAATTATCTGATTTATTAAATTTTTCTAATAAACTTACTCTACTGTCTAAATCTTAACAGAATTATAGTTAAATGAGAGACTACAGTAACCGCCATGTCCCCACTCATTTATCTATATAAAAACTTTTAAGGGAAGGGATCAGTGAGATCCTGAATCTGGAGAGACAGAGGGAGGTAGGGTCACTGGCATAATGTTTTCCATAAAAAGGAGCTCCTGCCAATTGCTTTATATTCTTTTCTTGAATTTTAATTTTAATTTTAAGTTTTAAAGAGAATACGAAATGTATTAAAACAAAAACAACAAATGATACCAAATTTCTTTAAACAAAATAATATGGATTTCACAGTGTTGTACAGGATAATAGCATTGTCTTCAAATTAGTTGTTCCTATTACCTAATATATGCTTTGTATTATTTTAGCATAAAATCAGTGACTTGACACTATGCAACTGCTCCCAGTGCCCCAAAAGGACATGAGATCAGCATTGCTAAGCTATTATCTAAAAGTAACCATGCATTTTATTTGTCTGTTCCAAGTTACTGCTATTCTGAAAGGAAACCTGGCCAAAGTGGAGACAATTTTATAGGAACAAACAGGAGATAGAGATCGATGCTATTCCTACAGTTTTTGCTTCATTTTTCTATCAATAAAAGAGCTATATTTTCTTTTAGCTAAGTAGTCAGTTACTTCAACTGAACACAAGGACTAAAGAAAATGTAAATAAGTTATGTGTATGTCATCTAAGTTAGAATGCCAAGGTACTAAATCAAATAAAATGGTCAATATTTTAATTTAGGAGTTTATTATCAAGTATTTCAAGAATTACTCAATAAAAAATAAAAAGAATTTGTCCAAGAGAATAGTTTTATAGGCAAAAGAATATTTAATATTATATTTTGGGGTTTTTTAAAGATTTTCTGAACTTAAACATATTCAAAGTCAAGCAGATCCCTAATCTGTAGAACTATAGCAGGAATCCTATAAAATCTGTGCTAAGTTTCTAATTTTTTTTGTTTCTTTAGCACAGAAGTATCTTTTAAAATGCTAGTTCTCTGACATAACTACTATGCAATGATCATAATCAAAGGACACAACTTATATTGGCAATATCACTCTAATTAGATGCCAGCTGACTCTGAAAAATGAGCTATAAATAACACAACAGTTACTGCAGTCAAAGACCACTCTTCTACCCTTGTCAGTCTAATAGACATTAGAATGTAAGATTATTAGAAATACTTTTCTTTTGGTAACAAATTCTTCAAACATAAAAGATCATTAGTTTTTAATTATTTCTCTAAATAGCCACCTCAAACAATTACTTTATATAAAATTACTGAATAGCATCTTTCAATGTTAGTTCACCATTAACAAATTAATATTTAAAGAACTGTTTACTGCATTACTCACCTGAGGAAGAAGTCAGATGATGAACAGGTCTTGCTGGTTGAAGGGATTTACCAATTAATTTTTTGGTTTCCATTGTCACAAATACCTTGAGGTTCCATGCTTGAAGAGGGAAAAATACATTTCTGTCTTTTGGACAAGATGTTTTGCCTATATATTAATAACCACAATGCTTATTTGAAGATATGTGTTGTAAGTTGGAACAAACAAATACAGAAAGGATTTAAAAGAATATGTAATAATCTCAGACCTCTTAGTACATTTGTTACATTCCTTTTTTAGAATATTTCCCTCTGTTAATTTTCCTCACTTTACTCTTTTGGCTTATTTCCTATTTGTTGGCTTCTTTACCTCTCCCAACTTCCTTAATTGATTTTTCTGCTCTTTAATTAGATAAAGAGATTGAATAAATTTGTCTTTAGTGCTTAATCTCATTTATTATGATTGCAATGACCTATGTATGTAAATATAATCTATGCTTCCAACATCTACATCTCTTAAACTCCTGTTTCATTTTTCTACTTGTATAATCCCATTGCAAGTTTTTATCTCAGGTACTTCAAAAATTAAACTTATCCAAAATCAATTACTTTGACTTCCAGAGATGTCCAACCTCCTGGATTCCTTAAAATCATTACCAATTCCTTTAGACTATCCTCAATGACACATTCAATTTAATGGTATAAAATTATAGCACCCATTCCATAATTAATCTCTAATTCCTATCTATTCTTTCAAAGCATATCTCATATATATTTTCTTCATTCCTATCACTACTCCTTTAATTCCACAGTGTTTCATAATTCATCTTTCTGCTGTCCTCCGTATACCAACATCATTACATTAAAGAAAACCATACTAAATTGCTTTTTTTGTTTTCCAGACTAGACAAAAATGTGATTATTTTAAAACAGTATTTATTAACACTGTAACTTCTGTAACTAATACAGCACCTGTAACGAATCCAAAATAGGGACAAAACAAGCATTCTCTGAACAAATGAATGAACACAGTATGTCTTCAAAGTATGATCATTTATACATATTCTTGCTTTTCAAACCTCTATTACAGGCCGGTGATATAGCTCAGCAGCCTAAAGCGCCTGCTTAGGCAAGCTTAGGCAGGTGCTGGTGACCACAGTTTCATCCCTTGCACCACACACCATGACAGCTCTGCCCTCACGGCAGGCTGAGCCATCAAAAAAAAAAACGCTTTTATTAATAAAAATCTATTAATATTCTCTTTGATAAAGGAAAAATTAAGTGTCCATGTTATGTATAGTAAACCACTTACTAATATTATATTACTTAGAACTTTCTAAATTAGGCATTGCTACTATTTAATGCTCAAGTTTCATGTCAGTCTACCTAGATTTATGCTATAGCTCTACTACCTCATTAAGAAACTGGATAACAATCCTTTTTACTTACTAGAGTTAATGACAAGACTAAATAATATAACTCACAAAAAGTTTCCTTTTATCTTCCTCCTCCACTAGTCCCCACTACAGGCTGTTTGTCAGTGGTCTAAAACTAAAATGCAGCACAGTAAATACAGTACATGGCTATTTGATTAGACTATACGTTAACAGGGGCCACAAAAACTAGATCTTATCTTTGGATCCTACTACTTGCAATATAATTACTTTAACTATACAAACTCTAAAAATTGGAGAGCCTCCTCATTGTATCTTCTTACATCTGCATGGAACACAAACTTTCTTAATTGTTATGTCCCTAAGTATAAATCAAAGCTAAAATCCCATTGGGCTTTATACCTGTTCATCCAAAAATAATTGTAAGCATATTATTGTAAGTAAATCTTAAGGTTAAAAGATTGTTTTGAGTATAAGATAGGATCGGCAACTCTATCTTTCAGTTCCAAGAAATGTTTTATTTAAACATATCTTTATAAATGTATGTTAAAATCATAAACTTACAAGCAACCTTACAAAGTTGGCAATGATGATTATGCCAAAAGGTTTTTTTTCCTCAAATTTGGAAATAAGCCAGCCAGTATTCCAAGTCAATATTTGTCTCATTTTCTAATATGTTCTGTTGACTAGTGGTACAAAATGGTGATTAACAACTTTCTAAACAAAACTAATGCTGCACGTACTTACTGACAATGCAAAATTTTGATGCAACAGGAAGCAAGAAAAATTATAAGTAGCAAAAATATACTTCAAATACTTATAAATAATTTCTATGTGGAAGAGGACACTTTTCAAAGTACCAGACTTTGATCTCATATATTGATACATTTAATATATTTCCTAGCCATTTCAACCAGGACCCTAATACTAGTATGCAGTAACTTTCCATCCTATTACCCATATGAAACTAGTGAATCACAATACAAAAGAATAGAATACTTTGGCACATGGTCCCTTGTTTTTCATTGCTCAGCTGAAATTGAGTAGTAGGTTATAAAGTCTTGTCCAGCTGCTGAGCAAGGCAAATCCAGAGTATTCAAACTAGGGATTTTCAAACACTGGGGAGTTACAGAGCTCTATTACATGATTTTGCAAAACAAGTAAACAAAAAAATTAAAGTTCTTTTAGGGCTACCTAATTTTAAGTTTATTGTAGGAAATAAACATCTAGGATCCCCCATATGTAAATTCATTTCAGTCAAGAAAATTAGAAAGATGGTATCATAAAATACTATCTAGTGTTAAAATAGAAAAGTAAACTAGGCCTGTATAAAAACACTGACAGTATAGGGAATGAGCT